ACAACCTAAGATCAGTATCTTATTAGTTGGCAGTCAATTAATAAGATACCAAATAAGTTGACATTAAATCGTTGGCAGAAGCCAATGTTCATCTGTTATCTTATATCAGTTTTGTGCTGGTTAAATGTTCAAAATTGCGCAATTAAGAACTGAAAGCTTTTATACTGGTTCAGTTTTAATTCATTAAATAATGAAAATAGTATTAAATATTTGAATTAAAACCACTAAAACTTACAGAAGCTTTCCTTGTTTCTTGAGCACAACAGACTGAGTTATTAACAAATAAACATTATATTTAAACAAGGTGTTTAAATTGTGTACATGCATGTTTGCTTTACCTGAACAGCGAGAGATGAGGCACAGTCTGACAGGAGAATCTGATCCTCTGCAAAAACAACAAAATATATAAATAGCTATATTGCTATTGACATTATGTATTGTGCCTCCATTTCACTAACTCACCCTTCAGTGGCTGGTACAAGGTTGCATTTTCAGGCCACGGCTCAGCAGCTGTCAACGTCACAAACAGACATGCAGGCAAACAAACACAATTATACGGTGATAATGTGACTCATTAATCTATAATGTTGCTTGTGGGATCAGCTGTCAACATTCTTTTACTAATTGTTCTTCGTCTACTTTTGACTCTCCCTTTAACAGTCATCCCGGTGGATCATCTGCCTTCATCTCACAACAACTCTCCCCATGTCCTCCTTTTGCTATATCCATGACCATTCGTGTGGTCTTCCTTTTTTTCCTCCTGCCTTCCAGCTCCATGTCCACTACCCCTCCTCTGCAAATATCTAAACCATCTCAGCCTCACCTCTCTAACTTTGTCAAACTCCTTAACCTGATCTGTCCCTCTGATATACTTAGTTCTAATCTTGTCCATCCTGCTCACTCCCAAAGAAAACCTTAGCACCACTGACCTTTGTTAGTGTACCGTCTACAGACCATACATCACAGCAGGTCTCACAACCATCTTGCAGACCTTCCCTTTCACTCTGGCTCACTTTGTCACAAATCACCTGTGACACTCATCTCCATCCACATCACCCTGACTGCACCCTCTTCTTCACCTCTACTCATATAAAGTTAATCAATAAAAGATTATAAAGAATACAGACACGAGGTGCACGGTGCTCACTCAACGACCTATGCTGTAACATCGCCGTGCTTGCAGTACAGCCTCCAGCCACCGGGGGAATCTCTGAGCATGTCTCTGTTAAAATTGATAGATTTGAGCCGTTTTTGTAACGATACGGGGATGTCAGTAACTTTAGCCCTCTTGAGCTGTTTCCGCTTGAATTCGCCGTCCCCCAGCTGATTTATGGTTTTAACAGTAAACAGAAATATGGCGCTATTTACATTAGAGTCCTGTGTTACACCTGCCAAGCAATCCACGACATGCAGAATGACAAGAGTGCCTTGGGGCTTTTCCAGGCCAGTCAGCCTTTGTTTAAGAAACCAAGAAAAGGCGAACAAAGGCAGCTATAGTAACAGCTAAAGGTCCTTATATGTAAGTAACTACATTTGTAAAGAGCTTATGTTACTGTGAACCTTAGCTCTTGCCAGCTAGCTGGCTAATGTTATTCATAATCAATAGAAAAACGGGGTGAAGTCAACATATTACCTGCCATCTGCGACATGAACGCCTCTGCCGCAAGAGACATGGTGCTGCTGTTGTACTCTTATTGTTAAATAATGATTAGAATAATGAGCGATCTGAGCAACAGCACTGCTTGCAAGTTTAAGGGCAAGTACTTGTTCTGCAGTCACTGACCGGTCCGCCTGCGATTGATGTCCGTAAGAGAAACGGTTGCATTAATCTTTAGTTCCACTTTATGGACGCGCATAGAGGCTACTGTAGCAGTGTTGTTATATTTAACTAGACATAATTGGGGCATGGAAAAATACATATTATTAAAGTAGCATTTTTAATTTGGGTTTAAGGGAAAGAACTAACCGCACAAAAAGTGTATAGGAAACTGACTAAAACAGACACATCATGTGAGAGAGACATGGACTCAGAGAAGCATTATTTGAAATCTGTGTGATAATTTTGTTACAGCAAACATAGGATTAAAAGGATAATGTCCAGGGCAGAAAACATACATTTGGAGGGTAAAGTCAGCAAAACCTAAATATGAATGGATTTTATCATATTTGACTGGTGGTGTGGGGTGGCTGTGGCTCAGGAGATAGAGGGCAGTGGTTCAATCCCACACGTTTAAGTATCCTTGGGCAAGACACCAAACTCAGGTTTGGTGTGAATTTTAGGTTAATAGCGTTTGTAATATTCGTGCATTCATCCACACTCCATGGCTGCTGTTACCTAGCAGCAAGTACAATATCATTCTTTAACAAGCGTAAATTTTTAGCAGAACTGCATTTATGTGTGTGTATACCTTTATATCTGCAAAGTTAATATACTTGTTATTTTGCCCACTATTTTATTGTTGCTGTCTTATTATATTTGCTTTTTTGTTGAATTGTTATTATTTAATTCAGAGGAGTTTCTTTAAGAGTTGCCTCCTTCCCACCAAGTTTATGAACGCAGAAATTAAAATCTTCTTACATATATACTCACTTCAAGTGAAATGCAGTATACAAGGCACAAACAAGGGTTGTGCAATTCTAATGAGCTTGAAAATCCATATTTGATATGACCACCTTTATTCTTCAACACAGTGTGAACTCTCTTAGACTCTATTAGTTTTAGACTTTCTTGTAATTTCTTTATTCAGGAATATTTCTCCAGCCTTCTTGAATGACACTCAAAATTCCATTTTGCATGTTGGCTCCTTTTTCTGTCAAGATGATCTCACATTGCTCTAATAATGTCGAGGTCTGGGCTCTGGGGAGGCCAGTCCATGACTGATAGTGTTTCGTTACGTGTTTTTTTCTATCTAGACATGTGTTTACTGCATTGACAGCTTGTTTGGGATCATTGTCAAAAAATTAAGCTGCTGGCAATCAGTTGCTTTCCAGAAGGTTCTGGGTGGTGGATCAAAAATGTACTGTACTTTTCTGCAGTTATAATTCCATCTATCAAGATCCCCCAACATTACTGGTTGAAATGCAGCCCCCAAAAATGACACAGATGGCGGAAGCATCTCACTGTTGTACCTGTCTCTTTATGATCTCTGTTTATACTGGGGATGAACCTAAATTTTCACATTTGGATTCATCACTCCATAAGACGTAAGATAAGAAAGTCAGTGATTACTGATTTTCAGTCCAGTTCTTCAATAGTTTGACATACATCAGCCTTTTCTTCCCAGTTTCCTTCCATTGAGATCATTTCTGCAAACAGATGAATCAACTGAAAGGTCAGATGCATCTTTTGCATCCTGTGTCAGTTGATTTTCAGATACTTTTCAATTACACACTGCTCAGCATGCCGAGACATCCCATGTTTTTGTCTAATATGTGTTTGGGAATTGCATTGTTGTTGCAAAAAGACTAAATGCCTAAAAATGCTATTTAAAATGAGTTCTTTGATACACACCTTTCGTCCCTTGTGAGATGACTTTTTACTCTTAAATGAATAATATGTCGGTGTTAAGTGATGTAGAAACAACAAAAAGAAAAAAACATTTCTCTAAAAATAGTCAGGTACAAGGAAAACGACTGAAAAGGCAGATGATGTCCAAATAAAAGATAAAAACTTTATCTTTAAAAACTTACAAGAAAGTCACAGCGACTGTACGTTATCTATTTAAACATTTCTCTTTTAAATTTTGTTTATTAATCCAGACTATTTGCAGAAAAATGCTGCTGCATTCGACCATATCTAAACAAGCCAGTGGCACACTCTGTGTTTTTCTGTAGCTATGTTATTGTCCACACCCTAATAAGAAATGCTTCACTGTTTCATTCTCGTGACATTTCTCACCCTGTCCTGTTTTAAGCTCTACAATCGAACACGTGACTGTATTTAAAGTGACCTGCCATGCTCTTAAGCTTGTGAGAAGTATCCAACATTCATTCCTGTCTTAAAAGTCTTACTTGTAGGTAGATGTAGTCGTACATTTTTACGGTTGTGTGTTCACAGTGCAAACACAAGTGGACAAAGTAACTGAGACACATTATGATGCATGGATAGATGTAACAACCCAAAATTGTAACCTTTGCAAAGATGTGTATGTTTCTGGTTCATATACTTTATTATTACTAAGGCTAATTTAGCATTGATTACGGTACATTGTATTATACACATTTCTGTTAATCCAAAGGGCTAATGATAAATATATCCATGTATTTCTAATGTAAATATTTCCATGTTTTCTTAAATGAAAAAATATTATTTATCTTAACCTGAAAAAAAAATCTCTTTCAGACTGTAATACTTAATGCTACCAGTCGGGGGCATTCCTGTTTCATCACAGACTAGAGAAAGATAGGTAGGTGTACACGCACAAACACAAACACATGCATATCTACAAAGTATGCTGTTCAGTATTATTGCATTCTGTTTGCATTCTGTTTCTGTCCATTTAAATGTACATAAAATACATGAATGTGTGTGAACTTGTGGTGTGAAATTTTAGGAATAATTGCATCTCGTTTGTAATCACGCGTGTGTCTTAGTGGGATCAGGTTTTGAATTCCAGATGTTTGACGTGTTTTTGTGGTATTATTCCCCTGAGTAACATCTCAAACTGCAGACATGCAGAACTTCAGAAGCTTTTCTGTTTTTAGTGAAGATCTGAACTTTGTTTGTCATGATTGTGGCAGCTCTGTGGTTGATCTTCAGCGTGTGATAGATAATCCAGGTTGCTCCGTGTCAGCCCCTTTGTGCCTATCCTGCACATGTAACCGAGTCTCCAACGGAAGCCACCAATTATTGGCACTCAGCGCTCATTTCTCTTACATATCAACACACAAATACACACAGCCATGATTTCACTACTTCAAGGGATTTTACTTTGATTTACGTTCCTTTCCAGTAAACTTACTATACACATAGGCCTAACCGCTAATCTTGATCCTGGCACAAACGATTTCACTTAAGTTGATATTCATACAAAAATATGAATATCAACTTAAGTGATATTAAGTTGATATATGAAATTCGCGATTTGGACAAACAAATCTATGAGAAGCCCGAATTATTGTATCTGGGATTTATAAACTTCTAAACAAAGATATCATCATAGACAATACTTAAGTCTCTTAACATAATAATTTACATCCCAAAAAAATTTAAACAGTAAAAGACACAGAATACCCACAAATTTAAATATCTTAACGCCAAAATTTCTCCTTAGTTTCGGCTCCGTTTAATAACTCCTCGAAAATCAGAAAACTGTAAAGATCAACCTAAATCCACCCGTGGGACAGCGTGCATGCATTTTAAAAGCTTGTCAACGGAGCCATGACGCACTAGACATTAGTCTTGGCTTATCTATACCATGAGCCCCCGTTAAGTTGTGACTGCGACAAAGACCGTGCTGCTTAAAGATGACACCGTATTTTATTTATTTATTTTATATATTTATTTATTTTATTTTCTTAAGCCGAAAATGGATATCACGATTTCGCCTTTAACTCACTGTTTCTAATCACACGTCACTTCCGTTGATTCTCTCCCGACCTCATCTTCCCCTATCGCCAAAAAAAAAAAAAAATCATCGGTCCTTCACTTATCTTCCAACACAGAAAAATATTCACACCTTTAATGTTTGAAGTTTTTTATTATTATTATTTTCTCATCTATTTTTATCAAAACATTTCCACATATAAAATTATTACAGGAATACACTTTTTTTTTCAAAAGTAACGAAAAAATAACGGAGAAGATGCTTGCTATAAAGAAGGAATAAAATATGCTTCTAATTATTACAAATTAAACATAAGTACTGGCGTAGACTATGATAGATATCGATAGCATATTAAACTGGAATCAAAGAGAGAACATACCTATTTATATGCAACATCATGGTATTTCACAGAGGGCTAATTTAATCCTCTCGGTGCGAAATCAAACACGTTTTTTCAGAAAAAAAAAGATCTCTTTGTAAAACCCTGTAACCCTGAGAAAAGAAGTTGGATTTACAGTCAGGTGTGTGCGTTTTAAAAATTGTACCTTCATTTTGGCTCTTTTTTTAAAAAAAAATTATAAATGTGGGAAATAAAATCCAAGAAAAAATATGGCTAATTTCCTTCCAAATATGAATTATTTTTGGATGCTTCTCTGTACAAAATCAAAAGCTAAAACATAATTTGTGCAGTCACTCAACACGCAATTTGGTGTTTCTGCTCTTCTACCTACCCTTTAAGCGCCAGTTTATGTAACATTTTGGTAACGTGCATATTCATAAATTAGGATTTTTCTGCTTTTAGGTAGCTGTTATATAACCCTGTATTATGTTTACCCTGTGGAGAAAAGAAAACCCTGATTCATCCTGTTCCACGCAGTCACGAGTATTTTGGCACCGCAACGAACGAGCACTGTTTTTGCGTCTTCATCGGATGTCTAAATATGAAGCAATTCCCTGTCTGCACCAGAGAGATGTCAGGGCCTCCGTGAACTTAAAATATATTCATTCATTCATTAATTATGAGATTCAATATGGATGAAACCTCAAAAAAGGAAAAAAATTTAAATGCTCCAAAGGTGAAGTTAAAAACAAGGGAAAAAAATACATCATGGAATTTATAAACGTGTGTTCGTCAAAGCCGTAACTTTAAAGCAGGTGAGAATTGTTTGAGGACTGCAGTCACCCTGGATAAATTAAGCAACATCAGCTTTGGAGAATGAAGGTGCTACCATGGCTGCTTCGACTGCCACACTCTGCGCTCCTGTGTGTTTAGACAGTTATCACCGTCTTCATGCTGTCGCTGCTGCTGCTGTTGCTGTTGTTGTTGTTGTTGTTGTTGTCGGTCGCTTTCTTGTTTTTGCTCTTTCCTTTGGTGTTGGGCAGCTTGTTGTCTTTCTTCCAACGCATGCGCCGGTTCTGGAACCACACCTTCACTTGCCGTTCGGACAGACAGAGCGCGTGGGCCACCTCGACGCGGCGGCGGCGCGTGAGATAGCGGCTGAAGTGAAACTCCTTCTCGAGCTCCAGGACCTGCTGTCGCGTGTAGGCCGTCCGCAACCTCTTTGGCTCCGGGCCCACGTGATTTGGATTAACTGTAAAAACAAAGAACAGAGGTTTAAAGACCGCTTTAAATTTATTTTATTTATCTTACAGCTTTTATTTTGTTTTGTGTTCCGTAATGATGAGGATGGGCCTGGGTGAAGCCCCATATTAAGAATATATTTAAAATAAAAATGAGTTGATCTTTTAAAATTGTCATTCCAGATATAATCACGTAGCCTTTCCTGTCGTAATCTTCATTCGTGGTGGTCTGGGAAGATGCCCAAGAAACGATTTTGACTTTTATCTTTAAAGGTTTGTTCCGCCGCAAGCGTTACACATCAGATACACACAA